AGAAGAAGAAGAAGAAGAAGAAGAAGAAGAAGAAGAAGAAGAAGAAGAAGAAGAAGATATCGTCTTCCTGGCTTTCTCACCCGCAGGAGCCACGGCCGATACTGACCATCGTCTTGTCTTCGCCGTGTGCAGGCCGGAGCGCGCGGAGAGTCCCCGCTATGGTGCCAGCTAAGTCCCCCTACTGCAGGTATGGCCTCCGCCCCCCTGCCTTCCTATCCTCTATCTTCTAACCTCTCAGTGCAGCGCTAAACCAGCAGCGTGTCACTCGAGAAGTGAGCTACTCGAACTGTCCCTAACCCAGCCGAGGCCCAGCTATATGTAGCGCTGGGCCCGACTGGGTGTTCTGCAGCGTGGCCTGAAAACGGCCCGCACGGTCGGGGCCCCTACTGGGTGTCCAGACTGTGCTGCTGATGCAGCAAGGCGCAACGTGCGCCTGGCCTCCTTAGCCCTGCCTCAGGTGTACCCAGCCCAAGGTCGTGCCTTGGGGCCTGCAAGTCCGAAACGTCTGAACAAACAAAAATAGGACAGCACATAAATAAATAAATCAGTGCTGCCTCAAATTGTACCTGCGGCCTACAAGGCCGCCGTGGGCCTCCAGGGCGCGTGTTGGATGGCACACGGCCTGGGGGCCGCTCAGCAACCTTCGGGCCCCTCAAATGGGGCCCGTGTGCAGGCGCAGCATGTAACCCCCACTCTTTATGAAGTCAAGCCGGGTCGAGGCCAAAGCTGACGATCTGAAGGTGGAACTTTGACGCGAGTACGACGTGGAGCAGAAGATGCCGGCTTGCCTTGCAACTTGCGTTCGTAGCATGTGAGAGTGTCGGGAGTTGTTGCCTGAAGCTCCACATGGTTCAACCAGCGGTCAGCTTTATGGGTGCAGTACCAAAAATGTACTAAGTACTCCGTCGGCCTATTGCCGTAGCGTCACTGGGAGATGATGTCGCCAGCTTCTTGAAAACCATCCATAGAGGGTGGGTCTTGCGATCGTCGCCCAGGAAAGTCGTCATGTTCCGCTGGAGTGAAAAGAACCAACCTGGAACAATGAAAAACCGGGTGGACGGGCCAGTAGGCAGGCACCTGAATGACAAAGGAAGGTCCTTTGGGGGCATCCCCAACCAGTGCCACGATCGGCCAGGGGCCCATCCATTTCAGGACCAGCTTGCGAGAGATATCTTGTTCGAGGCTGAACTCCGCACAGAGACCCATACGAGGTCGCCGACGTGGAATGGACAAGGAAGACGCTGACGATTGGCCTGTTGGCTCATGCGTTGCTGCATCTTCGCGATCCGGTCGCGTGACTTGACAAGTAGCTCTTGCATCCGCCACAAGAAAAGAAGATGGTCGCCGCTTTCGGCCACCCGTGGGATGATCGTGTCCAACGGAGAAGTGACAGGCGAGCCATGCTCGAACTCAAAGGGCCACATCCCGATAGCCGGATGAATGGACAAGTTGTATGCCAACTCGATATCTGGCAGCCGTTCAACCCAATCCTTTTGGTCGGGACGGATAAGAGTGCGAAGGAGAACCTATGCAGTCTGATGCGCCCCCTCCGTTTGGCCATCGGTTCGAGGGTAGCGAGCCGAACTCGGCTTGAGAGATGAACCCCCTCGTTTGATGAGCGCCAACCAAAAATCGCACATGAACAGAGTATCGCAGTCGCGAACAATTTCCTTGGGGTAACCCTTGGTTTGAATCCAACCAGCGTAAAGAACCTCGGCCAATTCCGGTGCTTTGGGTTGATAGCGGCAAGGCAAAAACATGGCGAACTTGGTAAGTCGGTCGACCACCGTGAGAATCCCATCCACACCGGTCTTGTGCTTGGGGAATGGCCCGGTGATATCCATAGCAATTACGGACGATGATTACGAGATTCGCAGCGTCGCCAAACCTCGCATGACTCACAATAGCGTGTGACGTCGCCGAGAAAGTGGGGCCACCAAAAGCGCTCGCAAAGTCGGCCAATCGTTCGATTGACTCCGAAATGTCCAGTGGCGGGAGCGTCGTGGAACTCGCCGAGAAGCCGCATACGCAACTGAGGATCACTTGGCACGCAAAGAAGATCCTTCCCCCACGAGTGGATGAGCAAATATCCCTAATGGATCCAGTAGTGCGATGGCGCCGGATTAGGAGAGGAACAATTCGCGTACTTCACACGAAACTCGGGGTCGGCTTGGTAGCTGCGGATGAAGTTGTCCCACAAGTCGTCATTGATCTCGAAGGTCGAGTAGACTGCAGTGCAATGATCCGGACGCAGTGAGAGAGCATCCGCAAAACGGTTTGACTTTCCAATAACGTGATCAAAAAAGAAGTCAAACTAGTCGATGAAAAGCCATCCAACGGGTGATGATGTCGTTGACCGTGTCTTGGGTCTTGTAAAAGACCAACGGAATGTTATTCGTAACCCATCGGAATTGACTTCGACCAAGAAGAAAATGTCGCCATCGCTAGAGCGCATGGACAAAGGCTAGTAACTCCTTTTGTGCATCGTCGATTGAGTGCACAGTGGGCACTTTCTTGCTGAAATATTTGACCGGGTGCCAATCCACGCCATCGTGTTGCTCGAGGACGACACCAATGCGATAGTCGGACACATAGATAGTGACTCGTGTTGGCAATAGCGGGTCGTAAATGCGCAAGACCTCCGCAGATAGTAACACGCCTTTGAGGTCAAAAATGAACCCCGCACATCCTCATCAAAGTCAAACAACCGATCCTCGCATTGAAGCTTGGTCAAGTTGGTCGCGATCTTCAAATAGCCTTTGATAAAACGTCGGTAGTAGCCGACAAGGCCAAGAAACGAGCAGACATCCACAACATTCCTTGACTCCGGCCACTCTTGGACGGCTTGAATCTTGTCCGACAGCGGACTGATGCCTTCCGATGTGACAAAATGGCCCAAGTATTCCAGCTCTTGCCAAACAAATTCGCACTTGTCACGGTTGGCTTTGCATTTGGCGCGGCGGAGCGTCTCCAACACTCGACGAAGGTGCTCAAGATAATCCTCCAAGGTCCGGCTGTAGACCAGAATGTCGTCCAAGTAGACCAACACGAACCGGTCTAACATCCCACGTCCATATGAAGAGAACAAGGTTGCATCTATCGCATGAGCAAGGAGGAGCTTGCGGTATATAGAAGAGAACTAGCGCACCATATGGTGAACTGCTAGGGCAGATCCAGCCCTTGTCCAACAAATCATCGAGTTATGCGCGGAGGACTGCAAGCTCCTCCTTGCTCATGCGGTGGATGCAACCTTTCGGCGGCACGGCACCAACCTCAAAAATGATCTCGTGAGAGATCGGCCAATCCGACACCACACCAGTAGGTGACCCAAACATGCCGGCAACTACACCACATAGGGGTCCGAAGACAAGTCCGTGGGTGAAAAGTCGACTACCGCAGCGGTTCATAGACAACATAGGCCTATATCGTCGGGCTGCTCGTAAGCACAAGTGGCCCGGAACGACTTGGCCGTCACAATTTGGCACCGGATCAAAGCGTGCGAAAGAGGAATGGTACACGGAACCTCGGCGCCAAAGGCGTCGCGAACGATAAGAGTTCGCCAATGAAAGTTGACCGTGTGATCCGCAATTGCAAGCCAAGGCGTCCGTAAGCGTCCGCCGATGAAAGTTGACCGTGTGATCCGCACTTGCAAGCCAAGGCGTCCGTAAGAGTCCGCCGACGAAAGTTGACCGTGTGATCCGCACTTGCAAGCCAAGGCGTCCGTCGATGAAAGTTGACCGTGTGATCCGCACTTGCAAGCCAAGACATCCCCAAAATGATATCGAAGTCCGTGTCCAAGACATCGAACGTCACCGGTTCACATGCATGAGGTGCGAAATACACCGGTACGGCCTCGATGTAACGGTAGATAAGTTGTTGCGTCCTTCCGTCCGCCAACTCGATCGCCGTCGGGTTTGCCTTCCTCCGAACTTGTGCGCCAAGGCCAGCCCTTTGAATAAAGGCTTGGCTCATGAAATTGCGAATCGCGCCGCTATCCAGCAAAGCGCTGCAAGACGC